TTTTTAAGTGAATATATATTTACAAAACACACCAAACGTTAAGTAATTTAATTAATAAACACAACAATCGCTAAAATTTAACCGCAATTTAAAAGTAATACTAAATTCAAGCAATCGTTTGACAAACAGCTCAACGATTGTGTGATTGTGTGAACACGTGTTAAGCGTTACGTAAATACTGTCTGAAATATTTTACTCGACGTTTTCACACAATATTAAAGTTATGCTTAAATTATTCACAATAAATGTAACCATTTTTGTGGGCTTTGTGTTCATTACTATATATTTAAATGCATTCATATTATAGGCACAGAAGAAAAGGGGGCAAAAATAGTCGATTTATGATTGACTTCGTTTGTGGATAGAGTTGTATAACAAACAACATTATTGTGTTAACTGTAATGACCTCTACTTTGAGATGTGATTATATTATCTGTAATTTAATATTGAAATTAATTTATTTGTTTTGAGAGCTAATCAAACATTTGTTAAGTGTTTCAAAATGAGTGACAATGAGAGCCAAGAAGTGGTGGATTCAGAGCAAAGACCGTACGAACACCTCATTACCGATACCACCGATTTGGCCGCTTTTGTCAACCAATTGGTCTCATATTTGGCAAACTTTTGTCTCATTTGAACTAAACTTTATTTCTTTCCCAAAAACAGACTTTAAATGAAACCAATATTAAGACAAATGCATCGGATTTGAGGTAAGCGTTGATATTTGAGACGATTATGTGGTTTGATGTCCAACTCTATTGTCTTTGATCTCTAGAACTGGTTTAGTATACTCTGAAGAGATGTCAGAACATCGATGTCTTTGGGACGACAACTATGAGGAAAATCCAAAACGATTTACACAAACTTTGAAGCGTTTTAAAGAACTGGAACTAATAGATCGATGTCTTGCCCTAAGTGTTGGTTGAATGCAAAATATGACTTTTAACTTAACTTTTAACTTAAAACTTTTAAACAACTCATTGTTTATCTTATTCTGAAACCAAAGCCAAGACAAGCGACCGAAGAGGAGATTCTACGGATCCATTCAAGCGATCATTTATCTGATATGAAGAGCACTCGAAATGTTGAAGACGTGGAACTTCTTGAGGAGAAGTCATCGCATTTTGATGCGGTTTACATCCACCCGAAGACCTATGATTTGGCCCTATATTCTGCCGGTTCTACCATCGATCTGATGGATGATATTGTCAGCGGGAAAGTCAAAAATGGGTTCGCTTTAGTGCGACCGCCAGGACATCACGCGATGGCGGCCGAGCCCTGCGGGTCAGCACTTTATCAAATGCATTGAGTATTAAATTATAAAATGAACAATAATTTGTCAGATACTGTATCTTCAATAACGTTGCCATCGGTGCCAAACATTGTATCGATAACTTAGGTTTGGAGCGTATTTTGATAGTTGATTGGGACGTACATCACGGACAGGTCTCACTCACATTCATTCACTGCTTATTATAATGATTAATATTGAAATTGTTTGCTTTAAAGGCGACTCAATACTCGTTTTATGACGATCCAAGAGTTCTCTACTTCTCTATCCATCGCTACGAATTTGGGGCCTTTTGGTTAGTCTTACCTCCAATTAGTTGTCTTTCATCTCTTATTTAATCAAATTTTGTTGTATTGTTATTTCAAACCTAAGGCCGGAGTTAATCGAAAGTAATTACAATTTTGTCGGCGGAGAGAAAGCGAAGGGATTTAATATAAACGTACCGTTGAATGAAATAGAAATGCAAAATTCAGACTATTTGGCAATTTTCCATAACTTGCTTTTGCCGGTTGCTTATGAATTCAATCCTCAGTTAGTGATTGTTTCCGCCGGTT